AAATCAAGTTCAGTGACAGAAATACAGGTTGTAAAGATGAATGCTGAAAACACAGAAAGTAAGTTGAATGGTTGATATATAATAATAATAATAATAATAATAATAATAATAATAATAATAATAATAATAATAATAAACACATTACTGGCACTGCTAGCTATTATTTCCCAATTTGGCAGAATCTGCATTTAATTTGTCTTTGTCTTTCATAAATATACAGCTTTTACAATTGATATCCATTTTTTTAATATTCAGAAATGCAGTGTTCCATAAAATTATAGCAGAGGCAACACTGCAGAACAAAAGTGTGTTGAGCGAGACATATAAAATCTGATATTTATTAATTTTTTTCAGTTTCACTTGTATTATTAAGATGTATGATAAAAGTACACAAACATTTTAAAAACCTACCTATTAGAGAAAAAATTAACATAAAATTTTTAATAGGAACATTGTGCAATACTTTTTTTAACACATGTGAGCTTCTTGTTTGAAAAATATGATTACGATGGAAATAGTATTACAAGATGGTGGTGTATTTAATTATGGCAAAGCACACTAGGGCTATCTGCCTAAGGGGAGGGATGCCTTCGTGGAGGACTTTCTAAGGGAAACTGGCTCGTATACACGTTACACATGGGAAAAAACCACGAAAGCGCCCATGCAGCCAGCCCCGTTCGCGGGATTCGAACCTCGGACCGAACTACCAGTGTTCAGCGACTTTACCGCTCGGCCGCTGGTGGGCCTTATAACAAGATGTGTGCCTGAAATTTTATATTTTAATTGCATCATATAAAATTTTTACTCAAATGCACCTAATTTCAGCTTGCAATAAAAAACTGTCATTTTTTCTGTAATTTCTTATTTATGTATCTGTTGGATTTGCGATGTCAGAGAATAGAAAATGTCTACTTTTTTTTAAACTTTATTGAATTGGCAAGGAAACTATTTAAAATTAGGTAAAAAAAAAAAAAAATAGGAGCCTAGATTTGGGATAAAACTAAATTGATTTTGAAAGCGAGGAAACACAAATCCCAGTTTGCCTGGAGCAAAGAAATTCAGTTTCTAATTGTCTTGATATCATTATAAACTGTTATATGAGAGTCAGATATTTATCCACAAGTATGAATGGTGGCATCTTATAATAAATAAAAGCAAGTGTAATGTGTCTGTCTGTCTGTCTGACCGAGCTCTCCAGCCAAATCTATCGCACGCAGGGACCTGGAATTTTTTATACGGAAGCACAAAGGGGCTGGCCACCAGACCTCGAAGCCCGATTTTCGATTTTTGAATTAGAAAAATTTTAAAAAATTATTTATAATTAATTAATCACGGTTTTTTTTGACTCACTGATATTATTATTTGTTTTCAAATAACGTTCGATTATAACAATTGATTTCTTTATTCTAGCGTTAGTTTGCTGTTTTGACGATACATTAAATCGATTAATTACAATTCATTTCTTTTTTGTAGCTTGTGGGGGGGGAAGAGAGAGACACAGTCTACATGTCCTACACTACTATTCCTGCGCTATTCACTTATCTGCATTTTCTAAATGCACGGGCAACGCCGGGCGGGTACAGCTAGTGATAAATATTTGTAATTATGCAAGCATCATAAATCCAACACATACTATATGAATAGCAACTATATAAATTTTATTCACAAGTTTGCCCATGATGATGAATGATGTGACACGAGAAAAAAGTAGCAAATATATGGAAAATGCAGTTGATTGGCATTTTCAAAAACTTAGGGCCCTAGTCTGGACACCGTCGAGATAGAAGAACGGGTCGTTTATTGCGATCTACTCGAGAGAGAGCGAGTCTGGTGTCATCGTTCGATCATTACAGAGATCGACGCGTCGGAAATTTTTCCGTCAGCTGGACAGCTGCCGTTTAAGTTTCTGATTGTCGTTTCAGAGCTAAACTGAGGACGGCGGAGGTCTCGGATTGTTTTTGAAAGTGTATGTAATAGATATTTTAATTTCTTAAGATTTGTGAAAAACTCGAGTATTTCGCTATAGAAATAACGCATTTGATGCTGACGATTCTACATTATTTATTTATTCTACATCACCAATGCCTTAATTACATTTTAGTGAAAATAATACATTTGGTGTTTTCCTATTTCACATATAAAGAAGGGGTGCATACTTTTAATTTAAAATTGTAATTTTTAAACTAATGTATATATCAATGTACTTAATTTCATGTTTTGATGAGTAATTTATAAATTTATAAATTTTATGTTTTAAATTATAATGTATTTCCCTCTACTTTTATTTGAATTTGAAGTGTATAAAAATGTAATACATTAGACATGAATTAAAGAATATGCAGTATATAATTCAAACTACTATGCACATCCTAAATTCAACATTTACATTAAATTGCTTTGAGTTAAAAAAATTATTTAAGTAGTTTTAACTGTACCGATAGCAATGTCAATTTCCAACAGTTTCTAGAATCTCCTGTATAAAACAAGTTAAATTCCTGCATAATTTTCGGTTAAATTCTTGTCAATATTATAATGCAAGATTTATAATTAGTTATCAGATTTTTTAATGTGGTCTACTTTTAGATATTATATCAGTTTTGTGTATCTATTTAGATCTAAAAAGTGCTTAGTTTTGGTTTTATATAATTACGGCAAAGCCTCGAGGGTTATCTGCCTAAAGTGAGGGTTGCCTTTGTGGAGGACATTCTAAGGAAACTAGCTCGTATACACGTAAGACATGGGCAAAACCACGAAAACATCCATGCAACCAGCCCATTCGCGGGATTCCAAACTTGGACCGAACTTCTAGTGTTCAGGGATTTTACGGGCCGCTGGTGGGATCGATTTAAAAATGGTATAAATATATATGTACTGCAATTTCTTTCACTGCATCTGTTAATATATTTATACAGTTATATATATATACACATATATTTAAAACAGATTTTCTGTGCCTTAAACTTCTATGCTAAGTTACCAATGATATAACTGTCATTACCAATGATATATTGGTATCATTACCATTGATATATTGGTAATGACAGATACATTGGTAATGACGCCCATGCGTCCAGTCCATTCGCGCGATTCGAACCTCGGACCGCATTACCAGATTCGTGTTCGGAGATACCGTGTTCGGAGATTTACCGCTCTCTAGTGGGATCGACTTAAAAAGGGCATAAATAGGAATTTGCACTGCAATTTCCTTTCCCTGCATATATTAATATATTTATAATACATTTATATATACATATAGTTATTTATTTAAACAGATTTTGTATGCCTTAATTTTTATGCTTTTGGAAATTACGAGAAATATGTTGGTAATGACAGATATATTCATTATCAGAGATATGTTGGTAATGCAACAAACCCGTTCGAAGTATTTGGACCTCGGACCGAACGACCAGTGTTCAGCGATCTTACCACACGGTAACTGGTGGGATCGAATTAAAAAGAGTATAAATAGGAATATGTATTTCAATTTCCTTTCACTGCATATGTTAAAATATATATGTGTGTGTGTGTGGCAAGATAATATGTTTTATGATTTAACCTATAGTTATTTAATTTTTTTTTATTTTTCTTCCTATTACTTTTGTTAAAAGTTTATTATATTTTTACTCACTGCTTATTGGTATCTACGATACATAGTATATTTGTAGCTACGTGATAGGTATAATTCCTAAATAAATAAAATTATTGATATAATAATGGGTTGCTAAAAATTAAATTTTTTTTTGATTCAAATTCATTAGGAATATTAAACACCCTTACGCGGAGCTATATTTCAATGATTTGACTTATGACGTTGTTGCATAACCTTTTCAGACAAAATAATGTATTTTAATCATAAAATTCCTGTTAACAAATAGTTCAGACATGTAACCTTTTAGAAAATTTCCATTTTGCAAAAGATCATACGTAAAATTATGTTTACGTTTCTTCGCAGACCTGAAGTTTCCAAAAGGCCATTTCTTTCTGCGTTTAAAATATCCATTAACGTTCCCCATTTCTTTTTTCCATACTCTTTACTAAATCCAGCAGCGTATTTTTTCGAAAAAATTCACCATTTACTCGAACTCCATTTTTTTTTCTACTGCCATCCTCAGTAATGAGCACGTGCGAAACAGCCCCTTTGACAACAAACTACCCCCTTACCCTGAGCCTGGAGCAATGTAGAGGTGACATAGACTGGTTGCTATGCAATAAACGTCACTTCCGCACGGAATTTCTACTTCACTTTCCGCCGACGGAATTTGAAGGGGCTAGACTCTCTCTCTCCCTGCTGCTGTCGTGTGGAAAGAGAATCCCGACTGTTTTTCCGATATCGATTTCGATCGGTGTCCAGACTAGACCCCTTAGAATCTATCTCGTTTTAAGGTCTTATCACAAAATAACAGATAACTGTTTATTTATATTTTTTTTTATTCAAACACAGTTCCATTGTGAAATAAATTATTAATTTTACTGTGAGGTTACCGTAATCCCAGTTTTATTCTGAATATTCTTTGAAAGAGAAATTTATAGACTAAATTTGCCTAGTTTTGCTAAGTTTGGCTTAATCAGTGAACTTGACAAAGCAATCGTATCATGTAAAAATAAGATTAAAAATATCTGATACTGGAATATCTTACTGAAGATTTATTTACGTGCACTACATTTTCTACATAAGACCAATCTAAAAAATTATCACTATTTATTCTTTCGCTTTCTTATACGGAGAAACATAATAACCAAGCCATTCAGTTGTATAATGCTCGAAATCGTTCAAACATACATATTCACAGATATCCACAAGCACTTATTTCAGATTTAAAAATCAGAGTTGCGAACCATGTTTACATCGAACGAAGTTGTTGTTGATGCTGGGCGGAGCCAAGGCCAACTAGATAAGGCTCCTACATTTAGAGGAGCCTTAGCCTTGGCGGAGCTTCGTTGTGATATCAGCTTACGCATGAAGCGACGATCACGTGAACTCCCTGCGCGTTCGGGGATTTAGCGCCGACCAGATATTCGTATCCTTACTTTAGCCTAAAATTGCTGGCAACATTGCTGTTTGAACTTCTATTTCTACTTCCACAACTGTATGTTTCGTGGATGCAATTTCGTGTTTGTATATTGATAAATTTTAGATTTATTGTTGGTAGAGTAAAAGTAAGTGATAAAGTTTTTTAATTTAATTAATTAAGAACTTGATAACTATCGCACCACTTTCTGTTGTATAGTAACGTTGAGTATTTGGTTTGTTTTTGAGAATGTTAAGTTGAAATTGTTAGAGTACACGTGTTATATTGAATGTTTGTAATTTTCCAGAACGTTTCTTTGCATTGAGATTTTTTATTTTTGAAAGCGTAATTTATGTTGTTATCTATGTATATAATGTAAAGTCTTAAATTTGTGTTTACATTCGGTTCATTATTGCGTCATATACCCCTTAGCTGCCATGTGCCTCACTGATGATTAGTTTTAGGTTCATATAAATATCTTACTTAGGGTTTAGTGAGAGCCAAGCATCTTACCTAAGTAAAATGCGTTTATCATACACATGAAAAGTAGATTTGGCTGTTTGTCTTTTACAGAAACAGAAAAAACTGCTGTTCCAAAGTTTTGGGCTGAAATATTCAGATTAAAAGAACAGAAATACCCAATATTGATAAAACTGGTTAAGTCTGTTTTAACTTGCTTCCATGTATCCATTTAACCATATGATGGGAATATGTCAAAATAATATATTTTTTTAATTGTTCGGAACCAAATAAACGGGCAATTGTATGGATTAATGTTGTGGTGAAACATAAGTTAAATCTTACTTAAATAAAATAAAAGTTTTATTTTTTGCTTCGCTAGTGAGGTAGTTTGAAAATGTGTGTGTATGCGTGAATGGGAGTTATTTCACAGCAGTATTCAGAATTATTTGAAATTGTATAGGATTTTTACTGTACATTTTTTAGGATTTTTGAAATGGAGTCTTCTTCACACCCGTATGTTCTCAAAGCAATCCATCTGCTAACAATTTTTTAAATTTTTGCACTAATAACAGATTTTTTCTTAGAATTCATGTGTGAACTATATATTAATTGCAAATGTACATTCATTGTAAGTGTTATGAATTGTTCTAATCTGCAATAGAGAAAATTTTAATGAATTGTACTCCATAGTTATCAAGATGCACATCTTTTTAAGAAGTCAGGAGACTCATTCTGTTGATTTAAGTGAGGGAACTATTTCATCTTTGAAGGTAAGTGCTCTGAAATGTTAATTTATACTGTTTAAAATTAGTTATTAACTTAGAATGAAGTAAGCATTTTGTGAAGAGTATTGGAACTTATTTTAGTAATGTCACAGCTGAAATTCTGTGATTTCAGTTTTATCAGCTTCAGAGGAAATACTGGTGTCTTAATTTTGTAAAAAATGTTTATTTTAATTGCTAGAAATGAAGGTACATAAGTGTTATTGCAACCACCTAAAAAAAAAGGTTGCCAGATTTTTCAGAATGTGCAAGACTGACATTCTTTATTTAAGTATGCTTGTAGTAGCCTTTCGGTTAGGAAATTTTGCCATTTTCATATGCATTCATTTTATGGTATTCCAAGGATTTTTATAAAGAACTGGAGTTATTTTTTACCTTAAACTTAATTTTAAAATATGTGCTGGTAGAATTTGCTGGCAATAAGAGAAAAGCTTCTTTATAATTTCTGAAAGAATACAGAATTTTGCCACAAATTTCCTAAAGGGAACAATGAAGAGATGTTCCTGGAAGATGGCTGGTATTGCTGAGGTTTGTGCAATGCCAGGTCTGTGATTGTTTGATGTTTTGTTAAAGTGAAAAACTGTACTAAAAGAGAACTGGGGAAAGGGAGAAAGATTCAGAGAAATATGTGTTTTACATTTTCAGTGTATTAAACAATCCATTTTTAATAATTTAAATTGCTAAAGTATGTTTTCTCTTACCAGATTGGTAATGTTTATGGGCTTAAGATAAATAGTATTGAATTTTGGGATCTTTTAAAAGTTCGTAAAGTCCATCAGCTTGCACCTTATAAGTAACTGTTAACTCTTCATTCGTGAAAAATGACCAGAGTGGTTGCATTATTACACAAGTACTCAAATTAACTCATGTAAGAATACTAATAATGTAAGTTATGCCCATTTTTATAAATATAGGTGACTGTTTGACTATAGCCTTCCTCCCATAATATGATGGTTGGTTGATTCTGAATGCTTAACTAGTTGGTAATGAGGGGTTTTCCGAGTTTACTTAAGTTGTATTTATAGACAGAGTTATAAGTGTGTTTCCATAATCAAATAATGCAGTCGGCTGATCTGTGAGAAGTACTGTTCCGATAACGCATCATTTTGTGTGAGGGAAATGAGAGATCATGAGATATGTCATGTGACATTAATGAACGAATTACAGTTCTTTAATCGGAAAAGGGGGGTTAATTTGGAAAAATTATTTTGTATTAAGCTTCATTGTGTGTTGTGTGAAATAGTGTTGATTAATTTTCGAATTGCATGGCGCTATGTAAAGTGAATTCTAAATTTTTAATGTGTTTATCTGATGATAATAATAATAAGTTGGGATTGTGTGAAAGGAAGGATATTACAGTTAAGTTTAAATGGCGGTGCAAGAAATCTGGTGAAAATGGACATTTTGTGAAACGCAGTGTAAGGAAGGGTACGTGGTTTGCTGAAAGTAGTTTGAATATAGGTGAAATTTTATTAATTTCTTATTACTTGGTGAATAGACTTCCAGTTGACTACTGGATTTCGCATTTAGAAATTAGCAGTAGTACTGCAGCCACGTAATGAAGGTTCTGAAGAAGATTAGGTAAGTTAGTATTTTTAATCATTTGAGGATATTATTTTTATGCATTGTTCTAAATGCAAGGAGTAAATAAATTAATGTGGTATTATTGGAAAATTGTTATTAGCAATGATTTAGTTTAAAGTAATTAGGATTGTAATCTAATTTTGATTAATTTAATGTATGTGCTTATTTATATTTTAAGTAGTGTTTTTTAATTTAATTATATTTTAATTTAATGATCGTGATTTTGTGAGTTATATGTTTGTAGTATTTTGGAATAAGTTTGAGTAGAATACGTAGTGTATTTTCATGCATTTTCGTGAAATGTTTCTAATTTATGAGAAAAAATCAGTGTACATGGATATAGTGAAGAGTGTGTGCAATGCCATTTTTGTGCAATTCTGGGATGTTTTTTTAAGTAAAAATAAGTCGACGTGTACATGGTTTAGTGATATTTTAATTAAATGATAGTTATTTTGTGAATTTTATGTTTGTAGGAATTTGTTATATGTTTCAGTTGAAGTAAACGTGCATGGAAGTAATTTAAATATTTGACACTAAGTATTTGTAATGTTTGCGGTATGAATTCATTGGTGACGTTTATAACATAATAGATAATTTAGAGGTAAAAGTTTTTTGATATTTTATTTGGTTGATCTTTGGATTATGGTAACTTGGCAAAAATTTGGCAACCAACTCTGCTACAGCAACCCTCTATTTTTTTTTTTCCGCCGCCATTTTGTCTTCACGAAGTAAAGACATGTTTCTTTTCTTTTTGTTTACTGAACACTTTTTCCAACAATCTACTAGCCGAATTACACTTATGCTAAAAATTTTATGTAACAAAACTGCTTAATCAATGACAAATATTAACTGCAAAATTGGGAAAAAGTGCAGAATCGCAAACTCCTTGCGCGTTTTTCAGAATAGCACATACACATAAACCATTTACCTGTCGACTTATTTTTACTTAAAAAAACATCCCAGAATTGCACAAAAATGGCATTGCGCACACTCTTCACTATATCCATGTACACTGCTTTTTTGTCATAAATTAGAAAAATTTCACGAAAATGCATGAAAATTTTGTGAATCTTTAAATCCGGTAAAAAGAACATATATGAAATTACCTCATCACGAAAAAGTATATACCCTTTCCAAGCATGAACATTTCCACATATAAAATAAATAAAATATCCAAAAACTTTTACCTCTAAATTATGTATTATATTATAAACATCAGCAACGAATTTATATGCAAACATTAAAAATAGTTACAAATACTTAGTGTCAAATATTTAAATTATTTCCATACACGTTTACTTCAACTGAAACGTATACCAAATTCCTACAAACATAAAACTCGCAAAATAACTATCATTTAACTAAAATATCACTAAACCATGTACACATCGACTTATTTTTACTTAAAAAAAAATCCCAGAATTGCACAAAAATGGCATTGCGCACACCGTTCACTATATCCATGTACACTGCTTTTTCCTCATAAATTAGAAAAATTTCATGAAAACGCATGAAAATTTTGTGAATCTTTAAATCCGGTAAAAAGAACATATATGAAATTACCTGATCGCAAAAAGTATATACCCTTTCCAAAGATTAACATTTCCACATATGAAATAAATAAAAGGCTAATCTTTAGAATATGGTAACAGGTAGTTTGGCGACATCTTGGTAAGGCGATAAAGGTTACTAGCTAGGACTTTAGCAATAATCTGAGAAGTACACAGTTCGAATCGCAGATTATTTTGTCTCAGAGAAATGAGAGCTCATGAGACATGTAATGTGACATTTTCCGGAAAATTCCGATAGTGATTTTAGCTAATAAGCACTTAGAAACAATTTTGCTGCTAAAGTGCAAAATCGCCCACTTATTTGATTGGCACTTTTTACAAGAGTAAGAAGAATTAGATTTTTGTCAATTTTCTTTGACTTTTTAAGTGAAAATAGGTCGATGTGTACATGGATACCGTGTATGTGCAATTCTTAAAAACGCGGCAAGCAGTTTGCGATTCTGCACTTTCTCCCAATTTCTCACCTAATCTTCATCACGGTTAAGCATTTTTGTTCCATAAAAGTTCTAGTATAAGCATAATTCAGCTAGCAGTTTGTTGGAAAAAATTTTGAGTAAAAAAAGAAAACATGCCTTTACTTCGTGAAAACAAAATGGCGTGCAAAACAAAACTAGCAGGTTGCTGTAGCAGGGTTGGTCGCCAAAAAATCGCCAAGTTACCATAATGTAAAGATTCACCAAAATTTATTATAAAATAGCAAATTAAAAATAATGTTTGGAACAATATAACCCTGTAAATATTTTGAAATATTACATTATACAGAAGATACACACGTAATAAACTAAGGAGAAAATTTGGACCTTAAACATCATTAATATGTAAGAATAAAGTAAAAAAATCAAATTGTTATTTAATTTTTACTAAAATATCTGTTGAGTTGTCATTTACATATTAACTCGTCATAACTGCATAATGTTGCTTTAATATGAACTGAAGTTTGGCTCATGTTGTTAACTTAATTACTGGCTTTATACCTCACATCATAAAAATATTCAACAATCATGCAATATTTCACTTCCTTCCTTAATTTAGATATAAAGGCTATCGAAATCTGTTACGCTAAGCTGGAATAAGACTGTGTTTGTCAGATTAAAAGAAATCTGGTTACTCTTGTTATTAATTTATGTTTCCAGTTATTTGCGATTTTTGTATTGTGAAACTCCTCATTTTTAATGACACATAAAGCTAGATTCAAGTGTAGTTTTCTTTATTGTTGATTGTCATGCCTAACTGATCAGCCAGTTTGTTATGCATCATCATTCCTAAGAATTTTTTAACCCATTTAAACTTACTAGGTTGTTGCAGTATGTTTAAAACTGAAAAATTTATGTCTGAAAATTATTTTATGTGAATTTAGAAACAAAAATTTTCATTTTGATTTGTATTGCAGTTATCACATATAAATAAAAAAATTTAACTGTGTTATCTGTTATCAAATAATAGAATCCTTGATTTTAAATGGGTTATGTACAGAATATTTGAAAAAAAATGCAGGCTTATTTTCTGAATCAGACATGTGCTAATTACATTGTTTCTCAAGGCAAGGTAAAAAATTTAAAGATCACTCATTTAGGAAGAAAAATCTATATGATCTCTCTCAAGAGTAGTTTTTGAAATTAATAAAATTCATGTCTAGAATCAGTATTTAAGGAAATGAAGCCTGTAGATGCTTTTTGCAAACACTCTCATTTTCCTGCATTTTTAATTTTTAAAACATTTATTGGGATCTTCATACTTTTCAGGATTTTATAGAAGAAGCAGAAGGTATTGTGAAAGAAGAGCAGGTTTTATATTATGGTGGAAGTCCTTTGGAAGATGACCAGTGTCTTGCTGAATGCTTAGTAGATGGTGCAACTGTTGATGTATGTGTCAGACTTAGAGGAGGTAAGGATTTTTGTTGAACTTAAAAATCTGGTAATAAATCGTACGCTCATTTCCGCTACCACTTTATTTTTCTTGTTTCCCATACATCTTTGGTTCGGAAAGAAACTATCAGAAACAGCAACAAGTAATGTTCTCTAATTCCAAACAGTCCTCAATAACTCCATTTTGTTAGAAAACGTGGTCCGTATTATTTTTTTATTTTCTTTTTGTGAATAAATTTTTATTTATTTCCATGATTTTGTTGCATTCAACAATTTTTGTTAGAATGCATTATAACTTTTTGGCTTTTAACAGCAGATATCCATTGATACAAACCTGATGCTTAGTTTAAGTGGATTTAAATATTGTGATCAGCAGGGAAAGGATTTTAAATGCAGCACCTTTAAAAAAATGTAACTATTGATATGGGGTAGTGTGCAGAATTTGTGTTTGGATATCAAATAAAGAAAATGAAATGTGCATTATTATGCCTTTTTGCTCCTTTTTCTTTCACCTGAATATAGCCTCAGCAATTCCGAAGGTAATTAAAAAAAATTTTATGCTAAAAAATAAAAATTAAAACTACCTTTGCACATACATGCCTTAATTTCTGGAGCTTAAAATGTAACAATCTTCATAAAATTTGGTTAAGATTTCCTATAGTGTTCCAATCAGGAATTCCAGTCTACAAGGTATAGAATACTGTTTTCAAATCATTCTTGAAGAAGTACTCGCAAGTTAATATGGATCAGTATTTTTTTAAATAAGCCAATTTATGAAAACTTGCTTGAGGAAATAAAAAGTGGTCATCAAATTTTACTCTGTTTTTAGATCTATCACAATTAACAATGTTTAATTAATCTTGATATTTATGGTTATTTTTTTTTCCACATTAAATTATGGTACAGTACTAAATTCTTCCATGCAGTACTTATATACCAGAGGAGGTCGAACTCCAAAACAGTAGGTGCTACATGTTAGGATTCTTGAAACTTCAAGCACTGCAATTTTCTTAAAGTCACCAGTCTTTACTTCAGTTGTTTTAAAAAGTAATGAAACAGGTTTTCATGAATAGAAACTTTTGAAGTAAATTGAGGGTTTTGCATTTTTATGTAATTAATATGATTGTATATAAATAAGTTTTATTTCTCTTGCTCTATATTCAGAAAAATGTTTTCTACATTATAGAGATCTGAAACTACCATGCGATGCAGCTGGACATTTCAGACAGAAAACCAAGCATTTTCTTCTGTTTTCCTTCTTGTTTATAATTGTTGAATGGTCTTAGCAGAAGTATATTAAAATCAAAAGCCGGAATTATGGTGATCTTTATCGAGTACATCATTTATTCATTGTTTAGAATCCAGAATTGACAAGACTGATTAAATCTGTTTTAACTTGTTTCCTACCCATTGTTCTGTGCTCATTTAATTATGCAAGCAATATTGCATCAGAAGCTTAGATGCTGCACAGATCTTTTTCTGTCAGAATTGCATAATAAATAGTTCAATGGCCTAAATTATTTTTTTAATGGGATCATGGTGCAGTGCAAAAAGCTGGAAGCTTCATGTTTTTCATACTTTGCCATTCTAATTTATATAGGTATGGTTAAGTCCGTTATAGAAGTTATTTGAGATAAATGTGAAAAGTAAATTGTATTGAATATGTTGTTAATGTTTTTTATGGAATTTAATTTTGTATTTAAATGACTTCTTTGTATTTTTAGGCAAAGTCCATGGTTCACTTGCTCGAGCAGGCAAAGTAAAAGGTCAGACACCAAAGGTAACTCAATAAACTTTACTGTTTGATATATTCATTTTTCATGTATGAAGAATGCCTAAAGAGATTTCTTTGTAGATTTCTTATTAGTTTTTTATTTGTTTAAATCTTATAAAAGCTGGAAACTAAGAATGTTTAAATGAATTTAATGTTAATATAATAATTGAATTTCATAAACTATGAATCAGTTCTTCACCCAGTGCATGTACAGATGAATAAGTAGTTGAGAAAACATGTCTTTCAATGTGTGAAAAAGCACTGCAGTAAATGCCATTCATAAAGCATTTCGAAGTATTCTTGAGTCATTGGTAACTGATTTACCTTCTTAATACAAAGCTGAAGCATAACTTACACATCCTGTCACAATGAAAGTTGACGGAGATCATGCAAAAGCTACACCAACTTTTCCTGTGGATTTCTGTATGAATCTTTAGTTAATAAACAATCAGTATTCAATCTGCTTTGTTTTAGCATTTTGTTAAGCTCTCTGATTTTAATGGAAGCTCTGTTTAGAATGATAGGAGTTCAAACTTCTCGCAAACTTCCTTGGATATTTTTCCAGCCATATTCAGTTGACCATATTTTGTCCATTAATACTTTCTTTATGTAAAACCCTCTTTGAAAATATTTTTCTGCTAAGTCACATCCATTTTTTATGCCTCCCCCCCAAATGCAGCATACCAATACAGCAACAGATTTTACATTACACCCAAAGAGACTACGGTCAAAAGTCGTTAATCCAGACTCATCGGATTCGCCGATTCCGGATTATCGATTTTTCTGGATTATAGATCATCAGTTTAAATCTGGTAAGATGGCATGCAGAAATTATAAAATTAAAAATATGAAACCGTAATTTATCCTATAAAGAACAATTATAATCTAAAGGGTATCAAAATTTACAAAAAAAAAGCTTAATATTTATTTGTTTACTTTATTAAATATTTCCTTCAATGTAAGTTGTTTAAGTTGCTTCGTTTTATATGATAATACTTTCTCTTTAATTCTATAAACAGACATAATTTCTTGTTCAGTTACAAAGTTCCACTGTTCAAGTCCTATAATTGCTGTGTCGAGAATACCAACTAATTGGTCAATCAAAGTTTTTTTCGTTTTCAATAACCTCTGTGTCACTTTCTTCACTATCGGAAGCGAATTATAATGAAGAGGAATTTGATTTAAATCATATCAAAGATAGAGTTCAACAGCAATATCCCAAATTATTTTTAAAATGAGCATATCGTCAGAATTTTCAATACAGAGTCTTGCACGCAGGAGGTACAGTGTTGCCATTGCTCGCTTTGAAATCATTGAGTTTCTTAATCACAAATTCATTAAAGTTGTACAAAATATGAAATAGGTAATAAAACAAAATTTCATATTTGGGCTTCCAGTTGCCCATATTCAGATGAAAACGTACGTTATGCAAAATTTGATGGCTGTAGGTACTGCTGTTTTATCACAATGTGAGAAGCATAGATACATTTATGCAGATTCTTCATTATTTAATTTCTTTAAATATAATACAAGGCTCTAATATTTGATGGCAACAATTTCAACCAACATTTATAGTAAATCAACACAAGATGCCAGACAAAATTAATAGCCCTTCTGGCCAAATTGTGTGCTTATTGAAAATCAGTTGAGTTAGACATCAAATGAAAGCATAAAGATCACACTTGTGTTGTGTCATCATGCATATTCATCACTGATAACTAAATTGCACTCCTTTGGTGTTAGCTTCAGTGGACAGGATAATTCTATAATTTCATCAGAGGCAACAATTTAAAGATACAGTTAAATACCGAAAATCTGTCGACCTGAACAAATAAATGCCTCTCAAAATATAAACATTCAGTTTATAGGTTTTGGATACCACGACATGGAGTACAAAATATCTAAGAAAAAATACTTACCGAATAATGATGTCATAATTGCTGAATAATAACGAGTTGTAATGGAAATACCAAATTATTGACATCATGATAAAAGTAGTTTTCCCTCCTAATTTACATCGAGGTAAAAAAGCTGGCAATTCACTTTGTTATTTCATGATATTTTTTAGTGCTGCCCTTTTTTTTTTATTCAGATATTTTGGCGATAAATTAAGAGTATTTTTAATTTCAGCGCTTTTTAATACAATGACAGATAAGAAATGCACTCATGATTTTACTGCTTGCAATGTTGAAAAACGTAAACACGTTGCATTGACGGTAATGCAAAAAGTGGAAATTCTGCAAAAGATGGAGGCAGGTGCTACTCCTCGGTTTATAGCAGAATCGTATGGAATTGCGACACGGACTGTGTATGATATATGGAAAAAATAAAGAAAACTTTCCGAAACCGGGAATCTTAGCATGAGGCGAAATCGGCAAACCTTGATGCTGTCGTGTACGATTGGTTCCAGCAGCAGCGGAGTGATGAGGTACCAATTTCAAAACCACTCCTGAGAGAAAAGGGGAAGCAGTTAATGCTGATTTAAAAATAGAGTGCATTGGCTGCACATTTAAACTGTGACACAGTATATGTTATCTGAAAGCATGTGGGGAAAAACTTTCAGCAGATAAAGATGCTGCAGAGAAGTTTATTGATGAACTTTCTGTGTTAGTTGCAGAAATCTTAGATCAGAACAGGTTTTTAATGTTGACAAGAAAAATCACCAAAAAAAAGGCCAGACTATTTTTTGGTGATGTTTGCCAAGAAAGTGTACTGCGAAGGGTGAAAGAATCTAAAGAAAGAGTTACTATTTTACTATGAAGCAATGCAGAGCACCAATCCCAGAGTTCTGAAAGGAGTAAAATCCTTACCTGTGATTTACAGAAATAATAAAAATTTCTGATTCACAAAACAACTTATGACTGAATGATAAAATTTTTAGAACAACACAGCTGTGTCACAGAGCAAGAGATTATGACTATATAATTTACAAAAACAACTTACTCCGGAGCACCTTAAAGTTTTAAAACAAACCTCCATAAAATATGGAATATTTTATGCTTTATTAATAATCCCTTATTTTTATGTCTATTGAATACTCCCTAATGCTTTTAAATATCTCTGCAATCACTAAATGTAAATGAATAACATAATATAATCAATTAATATATGTAATAATAATTTAATGCATATAATACATTATTGTAATAATGTATATAATAATTTAATTAAATGTATCTAATAAAGACGCCTTATTTATTTTGCACTTTTAGTCTGAATATTATGATTTATCTTTTCTATCTTAAAATCCGCACAACCCCTGTCCCGAAGCTTTGCAGATTTCTGGACTTTTACTGTACTAATTTTTCGCATATATGTGAAGGCAGCTGAAAGAAATAATGACCGAAGCAAATAAGATTAAAAAAATTGTTTGCCCGAATATTTAATTGTTGGTAATTTATCAGACCTTATTACACGTTGTCTATTAAATTTAAATGTTCAAAAAGATTATTTTTTTTATTATAGTTTGTTTCATTGAAATTCAATTATTCTGATATATTAGTTTGCAGCTTTTTTATTTTGCTCTAAGGAAATAGTTTTAAAAAATGTTATATTTTTGCAACAAATCTGAATTGTAACTGATTTTGTAATTTTAAGGAGATTTAAGCAATCTGTAAAATAAGCAAACATAGCTGTATGTTTAAAGTGACATCACAAAATCAGATTAGCACAAGTTTAAAATGTTTGACTATATTTTAAATGTATCAGTTTTTAAATCAATTCCAGTCATTATTATGTTATTTACCCATTATTTCAATCCATTTGTTATATATTCCATCTGCAGAATTTGTTGTTTTTTAAAATTTATGTAAACAAAATTTAGGGCAATGAACATTTAGTTTTTTGGGGGGATGGGATTATGAAGAATATCTCTAAGTACTCTTTTTCAGATACTTAATCCTCTTTCAGAGGAGGAGGGGGGACATATTCTGAACCCACTTTTTCTTTTGATCAAGTACTATACTTCTGTTATGTACGCCATCACGACAGCAAAGCTTTGATCATGTTGGATATGCTGTTAGCACTGAAATGGCTTGTGTTATTTTATTGTGAAAACTATAGAAAAGTTGATTAATTAACAAAGTCATTTAACAGGGTTCGTAGCGGTCTTTATAAGTCCTTATATTTGAAAATAAAATATAAAGGCCCTTATAGGTGCTTACTTTTTCTTTAAAGCCCTTATTTTTTTGTTTTTAGTGCTTTTTTTTTCCTTTTAGTGCTTTCTTTTTAATGAACGCGCTATTTTTTCCCGTACAAAGCCAAAGCTAAATAAGCAAATTTTCTTCCTAATATAGAATGTCAGATGGTGAATCATACACCTGGAAATAGCTTTTCCCCCTTTCTCTGCATTAACATAACCTTTGGTGTGCACGAAGAGTACAGACAGATGCCCGTCGTTGGTCAAAGAATTGCGAAAGCAGTAAAAAATTCCGGTACATTCGACATTCTTTTCCGCCCACCCAAATACTAATTGCATTTGAATTTCTATCAAGATCTTAATAATTTGCATTCTCACTCCACTTGGTCAGTTCATATTTGTGTTTATTATGATCATTATGCTTACATTATGAGCATATGTATGAATGTTTATAATAACATAGTTGCAGTAACTGCTGAAGTATAGTAAACTTCCAAAAAATGGTTGTGTTTTAACACAGATTAGCTTTCTAAGGAATAATATTCGGAATAGCTTAAATAAAGGGAAAGTAATCGAATAGTCAAATTAATTTCATTTTTTTGGCCAATATACAGTATGAAGATTGGGAGGTTCTCCTTTTTCTCCACAAAATCTCCAATATTGAAACTGTTACAGTTCGCTGCAAAACAAGCAACAGACCTCTTTTTTTTTTTTTTTTTTTCTTCCAGTTTTCAATCTGGATTGGCCCATCAGCGGCCAAGCGGTAAAGTCGCTGAACGCTGGTCCGAGGTTCGAAACCCGCGAAAGGACTGGCTGCATGGCCGTTTTCGTGGTTTTCCCCATGTGTAACGTGTATACGAGCCAGTTTCCTTAGAAAGTCTTCCACAAAGGCATCCCTCCCCTTAGGCAGATAGCCCTCGAGGCTTTGCCATAATCACACACACCAATCTGGATTGAATAGGACTAAAAGTTCTGCGGTCTACCAACTCAAGCGAAGAAGGATTCTATTCCGGAAATTTAACGCCGTCTATTGAAATTTGAATGAAAAACACCCCAGTTATTTAGTTCTTTATTCTCCCAATACCAGCAGCTGTTGATTCCAATTGCGTAATATCACGTAGAGAAGAATTACGGCACACGTATTGCGCAATAACGTTTGCGATATTTTGCAGAGATAATTGATTTTGATGTTCTGTCTGAGATTTGTTTATGAACACTTAAAAGAGTTTTACTGTGCTTGCTAAGCAGAATATTTTTCAGTTCCATTGGTTTATTTTTATATGATGCACATATCGAAATGAGCATAATGCAAAACAGCGCTAAACGAGGCTATCTTTACATGTAAATATTGGGGTTAAGGGAAGATGGCTAGGAAATTGGTTAGATATTAAATTTAAAAAGTATGTTTTTTTAATAAAAAAATAAAACCAAACATTTATTTCTTAAAGCCCAAATTAATACCACATTGTTATTTCTTGCAAAAATAAAAACAAAATATAAATAACAAAACGAATATTCTTAAAAAAAAACAAATAAAATTCTAAGTCAGTCATATTTAGTTAGCCTTCCGCGTTTTGAGTGTTCTGCCTTTTTGTGACAAAAGCATCTAATGTTGTTTGCCTTTTTCTTTTGCATTGTTCTCTTAAAAGTTCTTCATAAACGGATAGAGCATCTGTAACACCACGCCTTACTTTTGAGCTCCTGTCAAAATTCGGATCATTTTCAATGAATTGATCCATTATTTCAGTTATCGTAGACAAACTCCTTTTTACAAACGCCATCGAAAGTTCTTTTTGCTCTTCTTCTGAATCACTGCTGTCAACATTTTTGTTTTCTTCTTGTTCAGTTAATTCCTTGAGCTCATCATTAGAAAGACTAGCCGCTGCTTCTTGAATTATTTCTTCGACATCTTCCACATTTACCCCTTCAAAATATGTCTGTAACAATACCGCACCAAAACAAGAAATACAAGTACACTCTTTCGGATATGTATTTGAAACCTATCGCTGCATAATATTTCGTGGAATCCCCGTATGCTGCGAGCGATTTCGTGGAATCCCCGGGTTGAAATAAAAGAGCGCTAAACGAAACAGCGTTAAGCGGGGTCTTACTGTACTTGGATAAAACTGATAAAGGGGATTATTTTTCTTATGTTGAAACTGTATACAATAAAAGAATATTTCTGCAGCTCAGAAAAAAATTGTTGAAGGGGTGTATTCTTGCTTGCATTCCCAACAACTTACTAAGGATGCTTTAGCTTGGAAAAAAAGAATACTAAATGGGTTATTTGTTATGCAAAACAAAACTTTATTGCATATGGCATTATATTCAGCAGTATTACCAGAATTCAACACATATATTAAATTATTTGAAACAAAAAAACCAATGCTTCATTTAATACATTCCAGTATTTATAAATTGATGGCAAAATTTTTCTTTTTTTTTAATGAAGCCAGAAAATATAGAGTGCACATCTTATAATGATTTATTAAAGGTTGATGTCACAAATCCAGAATTCCATCTACCTAGCAAAGTAATATTTACTGGTGCAGAGGCTTCCACTCTCCTGAAGAAATTATCAAAAAATCATCCAATAGCAAAAGAATTCCAAATTTCTCTGATGAAAGCTTATACTCATACAACACAGCATATGAAACAGAAATTACCCCTTAAAAATTCATATCTAATTAGTTTTACAGCATTAGATCCAGAGCTAAGAGGTAAAACCAGTACAATATTAGCTTTTGAAAAATTATCATCTTTTATGTCCCATATTTTTAGTGATAATGAAAAGTCAAAAGTAGAAGCTGAAATAAGGTTATACCAGAGTGTTATTGATATCAGCAAAGAAATGCTGTACACATCTGATGAAAGTGGAAATCAAGTCAAGTGTACAATTGATAAATATTGGTCTAAAGTTTTTAATTTGATTAAAAACTTTAAACCAATATTTATCAATTTTTAAGATGATTTCACAAATGATTATAAGTATCCTACATTGGCTAAATTGGTCAAAGCCTGCCTTAGCTGCTTCCATGGCCCATTAGTGGAAAGTGCATTCAACTTAATGGATACACTTGTCACTGACTATAGAACCTCTCTTAAGATTGATTCCCTAGATGCAGTGCAGACTATTAAATATGATTTAATGGCTTCTAAAGAAACATCATGTGAAAAATATGTTTAAAAAAATCCAATGACTGATCCAATTCACAAAGATCTCTTACTGAATATGAACAGAAGTTGGAAAACATATCAAGAGGACTTAAAAACATGTATTTCAGATGAGTCACCTATAAAAGTCTCTGAAAAACCTTCTACATTAGCAGAAAAGCAAATTGCTTCTACCTCTGCATGTGCAGTTCTCGAGGAAATTTCTTCAACTGTAAATGAGGAAAATAAAAGTCAACCTTCCTGCAATTATGAAGTTCACCACAAAAGAAAGACAAGCCCACAAACATCAGAAAATAAAAAAAAGCAGCAGAAATTAGATAATTTTTTTTTAAAGAATTAATTCAGGTAATTTAAAATATTTACATAAAATGTAGTTTATATGTTTGAAAATTTATGGTTATTAATTTTTCAAAAAAAGTAATTCATTTAACTTTTATAATTAGGTCATTCAATACTTCATAATTGTAATTTTTCATTTCTCTCCCCCCCCTTCTCGAAACTCCAAAATGTCAGTAGTAAGTCCGTAAAAGTTTCCGGGGATTTTTTGAGGTCCCACAAACACCCCTGCTTAAATTACTTTGCTTGCAGTATCTGTTAAGGGAAAACTGATATACAATGAAAATTTAGAAAATGTACAGAATTTAGATTTAAATTATTTAAATATCAATATGAGGGGGAAAATATATTGTATTTATTATTAGGTTCCAAGTGAATACAATAAATATGCCTTATTATTATTTATTTTCTCTATTTTGAACTGAAATTTCATCATTAAATCTTGTAATATAGTTTTCTGCATAGTTTTTTTTTCTCTCATTGTAAACTAGTTCTGTAAATTGAACTGTTATTGCAAATTAAAAAAAAAAAAGTAATTATTTTCCATGGTTGAGGTAATGCTTATTCTCTCTTAATAAATAAATACTGCATTTCTCATATTTTAAATTACAAGTCTAATTTTTAAGGTTATGCAGTTGTGTATAATGTAATTAGACAGGTGCTTATTTTTTTTCTTAAAATGTGCTTAAAAAGTGCTTATAGGTGCTTATTTTTTTAGCTAAAATATGGCTATGAACCCTGCTTAAACTTATTTATTCATTGGCATGTATTTTCTGTTCACTTATATGAAGTAAATTTAATAGGTGGAGAAGCAGGAAAAGAAGAAAAAGAAAACTGGACGGGCAAAGCGCAGGATGCAGTTTAACAGAAGATTTGTAAATGTGGTTGTTACTTTCGGCAGGAAGAAGGGACCCAATTCAAATTCATAATGTAAAATTTATTGTAAAAACTTGTGAAATATATTTGTTTTTCAATCTGTGTAGAGTTTTGAGTTAATTTCAATCGTTTGAAAATATCTTTAAAGGTTAACTTAATTTTTGTTCTTGGTGTAACACTTAACCTACTTAAAAAAGAGCAATACAAGTCTTACAAAAATATATGTACTTAGGGGGATGTGAGTTGAATGTTGTACCTTTCTAGTAATTTTGTTTTCCTCTTTTATGTGTTTAGCCCAAAGAGAGTATTAGTTTCAAAACAAGATTTGGTATTGGTTTACTTTAAATGTGTTCTACTATAAGCACATCATTGCATTTTTCATTCAAATCTGTTGCCATTCAGCAAAATGTGAGATACATATCTTTCAGATTTAATCTGTCATCATCAAACTAAAATAATTAAAAGACGTGGATGTAGTTCTTAAGAATTAAAAAAAAATTTTAATCACAATGAATGGAAATAAAAATGTACTTACCCCTTGATGCACAGTGGCTGTGTCCTGAAATCACCAATTTTCAAAATTTTTGAGTGAAAAGTGATTGATTACCTATCTTTTACCTCTACAGATGGCAGAACCATACACTTTGTAGGTCTTAATATTTAAAATTGGATACTGTTTAAAATTCCTTTTTGTTAAAATAAAAGAGCTTTAAATTTCAGAAATTATTCATAGCACATCATCATTTCTTCATAAACAATAAAAATAGAGCAATAATTGAACTAGAGTTCTGAACAACCTTTGTACATTTTATGGCATTCCCTTTGCGGTTTCAGGGTGCAGCAAATGTAACATTTCTCTAAACAACTGAGACACTCCTCAAATAAACACAGGCACAGCAGCTGTAAATAATCCTGGCCATGTTTCTTGCTATCAGATATATAAGTTTATTTTTAATAGTCTCTATAGAGAAAGGAGTTTGTAATTAAAAAGTCATTTTATTAGTTAACAGTACGGGCCTCTTCCCAGTGAAAATTTATTGCTGTTTCTTGTAAAAAGATTTTTCATTTCTAGAGATTTACCTCTGTGCTTAACATGCTTGCCACCTGTAGTAGTATTGTAATTTTGTGCGATTTAAATAAGGTAGATGTATTTAAAATAGCTTGTAAATTTTTTTTTTTTTTTTTTTTTTTTTTTTTTAACTGCTGAAATTAAAAATGTCGTGCAAAGGACTAAGAATAGCTGAGACATTAATTTTTCTTGAAAAACTACTTTTAGATCCAGAATTGAAAGTGAAATTTTGAGGAATATATCCTAGATGAAGAAATTACAGCTATGGATGCTCCAAAGTTATTTTTTTTTAATTGTTGCATTTTAAAAAAATTAGTTTTTAAAACTAATTTGTATGCAACCAGTTAAGCAACAGTTAAGCCATTTTCACCTATAACTCTTCAAGATATGAAGATTTTTTTGGGGAGTAAATATTCTAATGTGAATTGAAGAACAGAATACTGAAAACTTGAAAGGATAAAGAACCATCAGTTATGATTTCATGTTCTCTGTCATCTAAAAAATAAAGGTTTTATTGCTACAGGAATAATTAAAGAAAACCACTTACAAATGTGCCCACTAGAAATGGTGAAATGTGTCCGTGAGAAAGACGGGGTATTAAGATTTCTAGTATAAAGAGAAAAATAATATAATTTTATAACAACAATTTGGTTGTAACTGTTGGTTCAATGCCTGGAAAAATTCAGTCCATAAAAAATATTTTCTGTTATTCAAGAACATGAAAGAAAAAGGTTTTTGTACCTCAGCCTCATGTTATTTAACAATACAATACCAAAATGTGAGGAGTGGATTTGTGCGACAGTTTAGTAGCCAATTAAGAATAAGAGTTTGTGGCAAAAAATGGTAGTGGCCAATCTTTTGCTAATTACATTGATGTATCCTTGACAAATGCATGGAAAATATCACGACTTTCTACTGCTAGATTTAAAAAGTCTCTCTAAGATTTCAGACGTGAGGTTGCATTATTCCTTTTGCAAACGCCTATTGAAACTATAAAATTAGCCAGAAACAGATCAGCAACAGGAAGACTATTAAATTCAGCATTCAAAAGCCATTGCATGAAAATGGTAGACATTTTATCGTAAAGTCTGAGTATAACAGAAGACTTCGTTCATGACTGTAGTGAATCTTTTTCATTTGAAAACTATCTGTATTTGTAAAAGAAATAAAGTAAATTTTAATATTAAATTATTTACAATTAAAATTATTTGTAGAATGTTATACAGTTAAAAAGTAATCCAGTGCTCCACTCAAAGAAAACATTGCACGAGCTGCTTATGGGCTATTTCCAATTTCATGGCATACCCTAAAGCGCATTTTAGATTCTTGATACTCACCATTCTCAGCGCTTTCTGTATCTCTGAATCCCAGATGCCATTGATGAAGTATTCATCTTGTTTCTGTTGGGCAGTATGAAAAAGCAAGACGGCCTTTTAACATCTGTGGCAAGCTTGTAGATTGTTTTCATGAGCTTGTATTTGGGAGATTTCAGCTGAAGCTTTTGGGAAGAAGTCTTTTAAACATTTCTTCCCAAAGTTCAACCCCCATCATGCTGGATAGTGCTTCAAAATCTAGCCTGTGGTGTTTGTGCAAAATGTGAAGAATATCATCTGTGTCTGCTTTTAGAGAACCAGCGAGATGGCAGGCTTTAGAATCCCATCCATATGCGTTTGCAACTATAGAACTGAGTCTTGACACTTGTAAGGAGGTCTTTCCATTATATGTGGAGAGGGTCAAAAGGACATGGGTATGAATTTTAAAGAATTGTGTCCAAGTGCCAACTTTCATGGTAACAGCAGCACAAACTCTTTCTTTGATTTGTTGTTTTAGAACAAACTTATTTCAATTCGTTGTTTGGTAGCAGAAACTCTTTCTTCAGTTTCTCCAACTTTATTCTGAACTTTGTTTTTTTCTGCCTCCCATAGCCTCGAGTTTGCTTTCGATAGTGAAAGTAATTTCCGTTTTCATTTCTTTGTGACCTGCTTCAATCTTTTCTTAAACTGATTTAGATGGCTCATTCCATCTTTGTGATCCATTTTCTTCTCTTCTTTAACGCACTTGACTGCCTCTTTCATCTCTCGGAATGCAATAAAGTCTGTCATGAGCTGTTCTAGTTGCTTTTTTATCGCTCCTGTCACCAGTATTTGATCCCATTTCTGACACCAAATTTTTTTTTATGTGTATGGGTTTTGTAATGGATTAAATGCATGCAGAACTGATGATAGCTTGATAAAATTTATTTTTCATAAAAGCAACAACTTACAGTAGTGCAGCTTTTTATAAAAGTACTCATATGGCTCTTCACTGTATGGCATAGGACATTAAATAGTTACTACTAAGAACATCTGACAAAAGTTTTGTTTGGAGATCTCTCAGTGCTCCAAACTCAACTCAAAACTGTTGCTTTCTCCAGTTTCATACATTTTCTCCTTGTCCCCCAAGAAATTTTCAGTACCTCTTATTTCTTAAAATTGCTGGGAGGTGTATATAGTTTCAGTTATATATAGGAAACAGACCAATTAGTTATATAGGGATCAGATCTAAATGCTATCAAGTTTTTTTGACTTTTGGATATTTCTAGACAAATTTGGCAGCAACGCCAGTTTAGTGAGATAACCATTTACCTGCTTGGTATTCTCCAGGCATTTCATGTTACATTATATACAAGATATACTGTAATTTTACAAAAATTATTTACATATATACAGAATTAATATAAATTATTTAGAAAAACTAGAAAATAAAATTGAAATAAAGCAGAAACAGTATAAAATCCTGTCCCTGGCATTATAAGAATACTGTAACAAAAGAATTTTTTTTTACTTTTGCAATCATGAACATATTTTGAATGCATAAATTGAAAAGAAGAAAAGTTACTCAAATTTCTGAATTTTAATCTCAACCACATTACAGTTCAAGTTTGGAAATGATGCATTTTGTACTACCATATAAGATTTAATATATTGCAAAGGCACTGGGATTAAATAGGATTTTGGGAATTGTATGCATAGCATGTTTGGTAAGTTTCGTGGCTGAGAAGACAATCAGAGGAAAATGATTTTTTTCTTCTTGTGTATACATTTAACATAGTTAATAGCCCACCAGCGGTAAAGTCGCTGAACACTGGTAGTTCGGTCCGAGGTTTGAATCCCACGAACGGGCTGGCTGCATGGGCGTTTTCGTGGTTTTCCCCATGTGTAACATGTATACGAGCCAGTTTCCCTTAGAAAGTCCTCCACGAAGGCATCCCTCCCCTTAGGCTGATAGCCCTAGTGTGCTTTGCCATAATTAAATACTCCAACTAACATAGTTAATATTGCTTGCACTAATGTTTTCTGTTAATATAGAAACTCGTCATATTTATTTGGAAAGAATGCAAAGGTAAATTGAATCTACATCATCATACATGGAGTCTAACTAAGTAAACAAAAGTTATCAACAAATTTTGCTTTACCTTTTTTTTTTTTTTTTTCAAAATATTGAATTACTTTGTGTTTTATTGCATAAGTAATAAAACATTTATTTTCAAATAAGTTAAACAGTCATTTGTAAATTCATCCAGTTTAGTAGCTATATGGAAACATTCATTTTTCCCCCAGTTCCCCCCTCCAAAGAATCTCAATCGTATCTAACAGAGAAAATTTCTTTAGGTGTACTTATTACATGAAACATTATGAAAGTGAGAGTCGAGAACAAGGATAACTGCTCTTATTTTATGCTTCATTCAGACGACGGTGCCTCGGTAATAAAAGGTCTAAAACAAGCATTGTTTATAGGTAACCAGACATTGCTGCATCACAAAAACTGGTTTAATGATTTTGCTGAAAAGTTTTTAACTTTATGTCAACTCAGTATAAAAAACTGATGGATCATGGCAAAGCAAACATGAACTGAGATTCGGTTGACGATTTTGCCAAGTCAGCCACATATTTATGCATGTGAACTTTCCTTGAATGACTACGTGTTAAACCCTGTTAGGTGTAAATGGACTTGATGACTTTTCTATGCCTTGTGACAAAACCTTCATCTTAACAAATCCTTACCTACGATTTCAAATAGTATATGTTATGTCTATGGTTCAGTGGTGAATAACCTGTGGTTTTCTGCCATCAAAATATGAGTCTGTTATTTCATTAGTTATTTGCATCAGAATATGAGAACAATTGTATTTTTTCACCTTTGTGTCATTTTTTTAAAAGCTTGTTTTTTTAATGATCTTTCTTGATTTTCATTTTTCAGAAAAATTTTAGTGAAATCTGCATTGATGTATGCATGTGCAGCAGATCGAGTAAGCAAAGCAGTTCTAAAATATTAATAAAATATATTTATTCATATAAGTATTTTTATAGACAATATACAAATGACTGCTGTGCTTCTTATGCAAGCTCAGTTTTTAAAGCTTCTGAATCCATAATAGTTTTTTAAAAGTCTGATAGACTATATACATATCTATTTACATATATCTTCAATAATCCATGTTTGATCCATTTTTTTTAACCTGCATTCACATTTTGCTTTGCTGTTTTGTAAAAAAAATTATAAATCTAATAAGTACTTTTTTGTAAAACAATTTTGCAGTTATTGATCCCACATAATTAATTAGTAACTTCTTCCGTGTGTATGTGGCTAATAGGTGAGGTCTGTAATTGAGCATTCTTCTTCAGCATTTATCTGACCAGCAGTTAGATTATAATCTTCTCATGCAAATTGAAGTCACTATCAAGAGCCATCTCTTCTGTAAATAAATAAAAAAAAAAAAAAAAAAATTCAGTTTCAATTTGGAGCATTTATAACATCCATGTAAGTGTTGTTCAATATTTATTGCTCACAAAGAATTGTGTCCAAAAAAGAAAGATTAATCATTGTAGATCTCTGAACTCTTGGTAGAAGTTAAGCGAATTATCGCTAAGCCTAAAATAAAAACTGGAGACTTGAAAAGGGTTTAAAAGAGTCTTTTGTTAAAACTTAAAGCAAAGAAAGCACCAGCCATTTCTTAAAAAAAAAATTCTTTAAACTAACAAGTTTTATTTGTCTACTGTGTGTTGCCATCAGTAAAATATGCTTGGCGAGATTTGTAGCATTATTAACATTTTTTTATGTGTGTACTATGTGTTGTCGCCAATAATGTCTGCTTGGCGAGATTTGCACAGGCAAAATGGAAAAGTACCATTATGTGAAATTGCTGAATTATATTTTCTTAATTGAACACATTCAGCAAATTCTATCAATTTTAGTTAATGATCTGATTTCATCCCAGTATTTCTCAGTGCTTTCTCTTAATATTTTATTTTCCTTTCTGTTTTATCCTTAATTATGTATGTCTTCATTTGTTCAAGTGAATGTTAAGCTTATATCTAGAAAGTGTCGTAGAATAATTAACTTCTGGGGGGGGAAGAGCATATTAGTCTCCAAATGCAAAGAATTTCTCTATAAAACTAACATCAATCTATAATTGAATTTTTTCGTCATTCTTTATGGTGCGTAGAAAGCATAATAATGATGCAGATTAAACCCTTCGAGTGTTATGACCGGCTTTATTCGCAGTTTGAGACCAATAGTTATTATCTGGCAGTTTCCTTCTCTATATAGAGGTCTGTTTCAGACAGGCCCACCAGCGGCTGAGTGGAAAAGTTGCTGAACACTGGTAGTTCAGTCCGAGGTTCGAATCCCGTGAATGGGCTGGCAGCATGAGCGTTTTCGTGCTTTTCCCCGTGTGTAACGTGTATACGAGCCAGTTTCCCTTAGAAAGTCCTCCAGAAAGGCATCCATTCCCATAGGCAGATAGCCTGTGCTTTGTCATAATTAAATAAATCAAGCCAACTGTAGTGCCGGACTGTCAGTGCCATTTCTTGCGACAAACTCATTCAAAGCCATCTGAACGATCTTTGCGTTCGACCATATGCAATTTCTTCGTACCAACAGGACACTTATAATGAATACTAAGTAAATCTTCATTTACATACCAGTCAATTATTGCTTTTTTCCCCTTTCATTCCAAATCGTACAGAAACTTCACATTAATTTCATCACATACAGTCATTTTACAGTGTACAGCAGAAAATAAGCAGCATACTTCCTGACATACATCCAACGCAGAAATAAGCCCTTGTAGATATTTTCCCATCAGTCAAATTTTCACAATCATATCATAATGGGGTTTCCATAACATTCAACTACTCAGGTTACCATAAATGAAACAACAATTTGACGATAATCCAATCTGTTTCATTAACTTTGTTACTTAAGTTCAACCAATAATCCATTGGTTGAAAATATTTTATCCTAAAATATAAGAAGTAAAATCTCATAAAAATTATTCAAATAAGTGCCATGAGGACCAACCTGCGGCTGCGTGGTAAAGTAGCTGAAGACTGGTAATTTAAATGGTTTTGAAGCCTGGCGAATGGGTTAGCTGCATGGGTGTTTTCATAGATTCCCCCATGTAACACACGGATACAAGCAAGTTCCCTTACAAAGTTCTCCACGAAGGCATCCATGCTCTAGGCAGATAGCCATCATGTGCTTTGCCATAATTAATAAACCAAATAAACACCAGCTCTAGTTGAATAAAACAATAATATGTATAATTCTTGCAATGAATAAAAGCAACAATAACATCATATACTTGAAAGGCATTATTGCCATAGTGCAGACAGTTTATGCCCTGTCTGGCAAGATGCAGGATGAACTTTCGTTGCGACACTACTATTAAGTTACGCTTCTTAATAATTTTCAATATGTAATTATAATTTACATCTCAGCCAATATTATGATTTTATAGTTGCACTACACAGAAAAGGATATAGATTAAATTAATTAAGAAATTGCGATAAGTTTATGTAACCGAATTAAATTTTCGTGACCCCAAAGTTTTGCTTTGCGACTCCATTAGGGGTAGAGACGTGCAGTTTAAGAAACACCGTATTCATTTAGTTAGTTGTGGCGAAGCACTTAAGAAAGAGGGGTCTTCCTAAAGGAAACCCATTCGTAGTCATTCTACATATATGGAAACATTCATGTTCTTTTTAAATAGTGGTTATAAAACAGAATTTGGGTAAAACGGGGGCGAAGGAGAATTTTCAGCTCAGTCTGTGTTATGTTATAAAAACCATTTTTTGAATTACAGAGTCTTAACATTTATCAGTATTAATCCTATTTAGTAAATATCCAAATGTATATTACTGTATGAGCAATATTTATTTTGGTACTTTCCCACTATGCATCTGTTGCGGGTTTAGGCATACAGTGGGTAAAAAAAGTATTTGCACACCTACATTTTTGTTTGCAAATCATAAAAAGAAGCATTAAGAAATAAAAAAATTGGTATTGCCAAATTAGAATAGGTTTAATCATCCAAAACAAACAGAAAAATTACAATAATATAAATAACAATGCTTTTTTGTAACAAAATTAAAATATCTCGTATCAAAAAGTATTTGCACACCTGCATGAATACAAAAGAAATAAAATATATAAGAAAATTTCAAATAACTAATATTTAGTATGCATGCCTTTAGCATCTATTACTGCTTGTAATCTTGCTGGCATTGATTTAATTAAATTTTCTGTAACAGTAGGCTCAGTATTCGGTCACCCTTCAATAAGGGCTTGTTTAAGGGCAGACTTGCTTGAAATCTTCCTTTTTCTTATTTTTAAATCCAAAGAATTTCACAGATTTTCCAAAGGATTTAAGTCTGGTGATTGTGGTGGAGCGGCAAGTTTTCTGGGTACATTATAAAGCAACCACATACAAGTTATACCGGCAATGTGCTTGGGATCATTGTCTTGCTGAAAATAGTACGAATTACTGATACCCAATTTTATTGCACTTTGTGGCAAGTTATCTCGCAACACATCAATATAGGTTAGAGCTGTCATATTCCCATCAATGAAACACAAATTACCAATTCCTTTGCTAGCCATGCACCCCCAAATCATAACAGAACCTCCTCCATGTTTAACTGTAGGTAACACATTTTTGGTATGAAAAGCAGCACAAGATTTTCTCCAAACTAGTTTTCTGCCATCTGATTTAAAGATATTGAACTCACTCTCGTCGGAGAATATGACATTTTTCCAAAAATCGATTGGCTTATTGATATATTCCTTAGCGAATTCAAGTCTCTTCGGTCTGTTTCGTTCAGTTAGGAGAGGTTTTTTCCTTGGCGATCTCACATAAATGTGTGCATCGTGCAGGACATTTCGAACACTTTGGGCACAGATTTGAACTCCAGATGTTGAAGCGACATCATTGGCTAAAGTAATTGCACTAACAAATGGATTTTTTTATGCTTCTCTTATGATTTTTCGCTTCATTCGCAGTGAAAGTTTCTTTGGGCGTCCAGAGCTCAAGTTATTTGATGTAGATCCTCTTTCTTTATAACATACCAAATAGTAGAGAAGCAAACATTTACTTTTTTACCTATTTCTTGATAACTTAGGCCATTTTCACGTAGAGAAAAAAAAAATTTTTTCTCGCAATGAAATCGGACAATTCAAGATTTCTTAGGTGCCATTACAATTTGAATCGACAATCAACTTGATAACGTTTCGACAACACCTGTCTTTTATAGTCGTCTTACGTATGTTATTTACTGCGGGATGACTGTCAAATAATAGCATAAAAATGCAAATGTGCTAAGAGTTGAGATCGAGTGTGCAAATACTTTTTTTGACATAAGCTATTTTAATATTGTTGCAAAAAATGTTTTTTATTAATATTATTGTATTTTTTGTAATTAATTTAAATGAATTGGCTTATTCTATTTTTTAAATGCCAATTTTTGTATTTATTAATGCATTTTCTTATAAATTGTGAACAAAAATGTATGTGTGCAAATACTTTTTGTACCCACTGTATGTGTGCTTAATGGAGAAGTACTGTGTGCATGTGCCATTTATAAATTATTCTTATACCTGGAAATTATTTAAATTGAAATATATTCCAAAATGCATAGCAGGTGTGTAACAAAAAATACTTTTATTTTACTGTGCAGTAATTTACATGTGAGAAATGTTTTTAAATCTTTGCAATACAACACTTTTGTCAGTTGGGCCATTCCTGTTAAGGGATATTGAAATTATAAAATATAGGCATTTTAGTTGATAAAACATGTAATTGTTTTAAAGAAATTTCATAAACATTCTTGTAACTATAAGCTATTTCTTTAACAGTTTACATTAATATAGAAAATGTTCATCATTTTCATATATTTTATTCTCTGTTGAAGACAGAGAATGATAATTTATAAAAGTTTTTTGTTACATACGTATTTTGCATTTCATTTCGGTATTTATCTCAATGAGTACACCTACTTACAGGTACACTACTTACTTTTTTTTCTGGGGAGGGGGGGTGTCTAATTGAAAATATTTCTCGACAGTCGCTAAATACAAAGTAATTCTTTCCTTTAGCAATTTTGTGGCAAAGTACTGTTTTTTTTTTGTAAAAATTATACTGCAGTTTAAACTCAAATAAATATTTTAAAATCGAGTTTATAAAAAAAAGATATCACGATTTATCTATAAAAACCACTGATACTTGAAGCCTTCCCTGAAAAGAAAGGGAATGTATATGAAATAATGACTTTTTGTTAAAACTGAAGAACTGTCATGCATATGGATTGTCTGAAGAATTTTTATGTACAGAATTGCCAGAGTTGGATGCATTTTGAAACGATTTCTATAAAAAATACTTCCGATAAAATGAGAAAGTGCTAAATTTTTCACTATCAAAGGATGGAAAAATTCAACAATTTGTTTGCATGATGATTTTCTTTTCTATATTTATATAAAAAATAAAGAAGAGCAGAAAAGTTACCCTTCAAATCTTGACTGTTTTAAAATGGATGGATGTGGTACATCTGGTGATTTGTAATTGATACTACTGGAACGAGGAGTATATAATGAAGATATAATATCCTGAGCAACATCAGTGGATGGTCTTGAACACTGATATGCATTATTAGTGCTCCTGAAGGAAGTTGATTCAGTTGCTGTGCCAAAAGCTGAAAAAGATATTCTTTATATAGAGGGCAGTTTATGAATAAAATGAAAATATTGATTTTCTTGGTAAAGCTGTTTAGAAATTTATTACTGTAGTTTTAAAAAAATGTATGTACAAATTTATCATTCTTTCCTCTTTCTTAAGTTCTGATAGTCTTGAAAGAAATTAGTAAGCATTGTTATAAATGAAATTATGTAAATATCTACATAAATATCTACATAATCATGATTAATTTAAATCAAATTTTTAAATTATTTAAATAATGCTTTGATGATAATACAGCTTCCAGTTTATATACTAACCAAAAATGACAAAATAATACTTAAGGGAACCTACAGCTTGAATATAAAGAATATCTGATACACTTTTAAAACTTATTCATTTCTAATTTTTTTTTTAAAAGGGTGAAAAAATATTGGTCAGCTTAGAGAATTTTGAGCTTTTATCTTTTGTAGGGGGAAAAAAAACACGAGTTTCACTTATGGCACTATGGAATCTCCTGTCAATGACTGTACTCTTAAATAGCCCAAACGAGCTATTGGTCTCGAACCGCGAATTTGCCTTTATCACTGTTAATTCATTGTTTCACCTTTCCATTCCGCAAAATATAAGATACTTATCTTTCAAATTTCATTTGTCTGTTATGGATTAACAAACTTCAATCTGAAAGCAATAGATGCAGTGTTTAAGAATATTACTTTTTAATCTGGTTGATTTAAATAAAAATGCATTTAATTCATGATATATCTAAATAGAAACACTGTATTTTTATAGAATATTTTTTCCTTTTAAAATGTTTCGCTATTCCACGTTGGCTATCCCAATTGATAAACCATATTAAACTATAAAAGAGTCCTTTTGGATGACTAATAAAATCTGTACCAATTCAATTTTCCGTTATAATTGTTGCTAACCTTAATTTGCAGAAATTTCTGAAAAATGATGATTTTGAAATATTAAATTAGTTTCTTTTTTTATAGCTGAGTTACTTTATTCACAGCAGCATTAACGGCATACTGTCAGTCACTTGCTCGACTGAAGTGCAAGTGACTGGCATTAACGTAAGTGATTTTTTTTTTAAATCCATTCATAGTATCACACAGAAGTATATAAAAAAAACTACCTAGATTTACTATATTGAAAAGTTTAAAATAAAGTTAATTTTAATAATTTCGGACTTAATAATTATTACAAGGAATTATGTTCTGTGTATATTAATCATTTTATGCAAACTAAAAATAAGGCATGAAATACCTCTTGAGCGAGCAGGCAGGTTTCTTGAAGTTGGTCGAACTTTATTGGAACTTTGTATTGGAGGACTAAAACAAGGACTGTGCTGAACAGGAGACGGAGCGATTGGTGGCAAGACTGGAACTCGAAGACTGTTGTTGTTTGGTGGCAATTTCTCTCTGTGGAATCAGTAAGTATTATGACAGGTGTAAAGAACAGCATAAATTATAATAGGCAAAAATCAGCTTTATTAGGCATTGATTTTAAGTTAACCATTATGCATCAGTTTAAGGTTGAATTTTGTCTACAACTGTTCTAATTCCGCTCCCTCATTGGTTATGTTTTCTTATGCATGGGGTCTCATTTTGTAACTAATTAAATTGTTCAATCTCAGACTTTGTCCCAGTACTTGTTGTAAGGCATTCAAATATTTTACATTTTGTACTTATTGAAATATTTAATATAATTTAATGCAATGAGCACATGTGATTGAAGATTAATGAAACAACGATACCCTAAAATCTTGGTTTGTTTGATTATGGGAAACCCCACAAGGCGGGGGAGGGATGCCTTTTTTGGAAACATTTCTCAGAGAAACTGGCTTATATTCATATTACACAATGGGAAAGCCAACCTGCTCACCAAGAATTGAACCCAGGTGGAATTACCCATATTCAGCAACTTTACCATTCGGCTGTTGATGTGCCCATTTTCACATTTAACTACTTAAGAATGAAACTCTTAATTTGGATCAGACAGATCTTTCTGTTTATGATCCAACGTCATTTTGAAAGTACTGTGCATATAATTTATTTCTAAATTATTTGTAAAATACAGATTTCACTGCCATCATAGCATTAAAAAATTAAATATTACGTTTCTTTGAACAAGCAGAAGTATCCAAATTTTCAGACTATTTAAGTTGCATGGTACAATAAAGATATGCCACGAGCGAAATCATTGTAGAATATGCTGTAGCATTTGATAAAATTATATTTGCATTTTAATCCAAATGATATTTGCCAACAAAAATGTGCCCGTAATATTTTAAATGTGACAATACACACACACACACACCACATTATGCAGGGTGTTTAAAAAGGAATGACTCGATTTTAAAAAAGTCTTAATTATTCAGATTTCAACCCGTTTTCATCGAATAAAATAAATTCTCTAAATAGAACAAAAATTGGAAAAATATGTAATTACCGATCGTTCTGACCGGGAGGGCTACTGTGGTGACTAGAAGGAGACGTATGAGAACTACCACCTTGTGCTGTTTCGGTTCTACTGATATTTTCGCCGGAGTACCCGATACCTGTTTAAAACAAAATCGGTGAAATTAGAAACTAAAATTTCAGATCATTGATAATGCAATAAAACTTTATATAATCAAACTACCTTCCAGCTAAACGTTTAAAAAAATCCTGATAGTTTGTGTTCTGTTTCTATAGGTGAAATATGTATTTGCTATAATGCACTTAAGAGAATTTTTTTTTTTTTTCTTTAGTATGAATTTGTTTCAACATAAATTATAGAGTTAGGATTTTTTAATTTCCACAATAAAATATATATATATATTTTTTAACTTTCTTGTACGAAGTAAAAGAAGTATTGTATTCTAAAAAAATTTCGGATATACTATTTCAATGGAAATATCCATTGTGATCGTTCCCGAATCCATTTTGACTCTCCTTCTGTGAATGCAGTCTGGAATCTTCGTCTGCAAAAGCTAAATCCTTAATTGTGTTACGAGCTTCTTGAAGGGTCTGTGTTACGAACTTCTTGAAACTGGCCTTCCAGATGGTTGATGTGGAACTCTTGTTTTGTGAGGATACTGCATATATTGCTCAAATAGTTCTAGCTATTATAGTTAGCTAGTATATTTAGGTCTAGCTTGTTGAGCCTACGTTTCTCTTCCTCGTTGTGAGAAATGTTAAAATTCTGTCATAGATTTTATTGCGTGCTTTTGCCTTTTCAGAGACGTCTGAGCCAGATACTACTGTTAAATTTGAGACTGGAGAGAGAAGCAAAGAGTTTAAGTGATTAAACTGTTTAGGGGAGCTTGAAAATTCAGCCACAGTAGTCGTAAAACTTAAATACTGACTATCACTACAAGGCTGAGTGTCGAATTTCCCACCAAATGAGCTAATTAATCGCGTAAGAATTAGAAAGACAGATATATACTCTCGCACGAATGGTGAAAGCTACCATAGTAACTCTGTATGTACCAAGGTAATAGATCGTGTTACTCTCTCTATATGATCTCTTACTATGATCGTGTTACTCTCTTTAAGTAGACAACAGCTGAAGAATGAAAACATCACCATTGGATACCAATGAATATATCATATACACTAAAAGTACGTAAATATTACACTATGTTTAAAAACGTTGTATCACATAAAAGTTACATATAGGTTATATAAAGTTACATAAATATGTTTACATATATGTTTATAAAGATACAATACAGCCCCAAAAATGATACTAAAATAAGCTCTAAATTTATACCATGATCTGATATTGTATCTAAAGATATCATTAAAAATAGAACGTAAATTAAATAAGCTAATAAAAACAATTAATTAAATAACAGATAAATATATTAGCTGGATTTGTCCAAAAAAAAAAGGAATAATGTAAAGACAAAAGCAAACGTGTTAATTTGAAGGTGCTGTGGCAATTAGGAAAAAAGCTATATAAGAAATAATAAAGTAATACATAAATTAAAAGGAGATTAAAAATCGGGAGGAGGTGAATTAGAAGTTAGTTGTACATAGAAAGGTACTTCTAAGGAGGTTAGGAGAAAGTTAGTCTAAAATCTGTTGATCTAATAATAGAATATTGAAAAATAAAATGATGTTAAGGTAGTTAATCAAAATTAAAAGCTATTTTCTCCGAAACTAATAACGCTTAAAGAAAGAGAGTTATAATTTATGAATGCGTTATGCAAGGGCTAACTATGCACCAAAAGACAAGATAATAGAATGGCATTTAAAAACTGAAGGCTTAGTAGAAATCTGAGAGAACGTATACTAAAGTAAGTTAATTACAAGTAGGGGATCAAACAGTGTAGAATTACTAAAACGGTGTGAATAATTAGATTAGGAAAAAATTGTTATGATAGTTCAGCAGAGATAGTAGAAATATACGAAATTATCTTTAATTACAATTAATTGTATCTTAAATGTGGTGGAAAATAAAAAGGATTAGAGCTGAACTAATTACGGGAGGGTGAAATGGAAAAACAAGGGGTCTCTGAAAACGGGGTGTGGAGATACTGGCGGCCACTTTCGTCTCATTTTTTCCATACTTACTCATTTTGTTTATCCATGGCCTTCACCAGATGCAGAGTAAAAGGACACACTGCTTTCTGAAACTGTAATTCACTATATGTTCTTAGTCAAATAAAAAACTGGGGTTTTAGTACAAAGTTTAGTTTACCCACTGCTATCATAGGGAGCTGGAGGGGGAAAATATATGAAAATGTGTGTTGGGACTTTCTTCAGATGTTAAACATAGGTCAAATGAGTATGGAATTGAACAGTAATTACAGCATTTACAAAGGTAAATGGAAATTAAATACAAATACGAATATACCGTTAATAAATGTGGCCAAAAATGGTGTTAGTACTAGAAACAATACGAGTAATGCTGTATGGCTAAAAATGCCCGATAGCCAAACACGTAATACTGTGAACAACAACCAGCATGGTTCTTAACTTTAATAAAAGCCTACACTAGTACAATAATAAACATAATGATTATGCAGAAATTAGATTAAATAAATGTTAACAACAAAACAAACAAGTTGCAATAAGTACTAGTATTAAAACACAATGATTATAATAATATTAATTGACAATGGGAATTTACTGCATTTAGACAAGAAAAGTGCGAAGGTTTCGAAAGTTGTTTTCTGACATTTCTACAATGAAGAACTGGTTAGGTCCACTCGGAAGAACTGAAAAATTCGAAGTCACTGCCTAAGGTTATGAATAACGATTCACAGCAGCAGGAGAATAATGTCAGTTAAATAAAAATAAGCTTGACTTAGAATATTTTACTATACGCTACCACTAATACCTAACTCCACGGGCTATTCATTTACAGACCCACGGTCGAGTGTCCGGCTGGAATGACACAAACACTTACGTCGAACTTGCAACAGCTAAATATAATACAAAAACTTTAGTCACATAAGCTGAAAAATTCTCAATGACACATATCCAATATCTTGGAATTTTTAAGAGCTTCACATACGCAATGATGTATGAATTATCCATGACAAATAAGTCTTCTGGAGACATAGGTGTTTCCCACGGAGCACCGATATGTGCGACCATAGTGCTTAGTGAAGCCATGCTCTAAATGCTTCACTGGTTAGTGAAGCTGAGTACTGTATTGAAACGACCGCGGTCAAATCCTGGAAAAAGCATGGGTGTTTGTGCGAGAAGTAGGGCGAGCCAAGTTTGTGGTAAGGAAAGAAGAGTGGAAGACTCTCAGATCGTCTCCCGGAATGTTCTCTTTCGGAATTCTACTGGGACGGAAGCTTAACAAGTTAGGTAATCGCAGCAATATCTCAATCACGTATGGTGCTACAGAAGTACTGGCCTAGCTTCTATCTGCAGTAGACTTCTCTGAGTGTCTACCTTGGCGCAGCTGAAGAGCGACAACATTCTCCGGACGGAGAGCGGTTAATGCACCGGCCATCAACTTGCGAGTAGTTTCCCAACATGGGTGGCTTGAGCAGATTTTGGTAGTGCATCTAAACGTCACATTCACATTCCTATTACGAAGCCGTTGGACCTACATCAGAGAGCATAGCATCCAGCCATCAACAAGTGTACGGGATGAAGACAATGCTGAGGAAAGCAAAGCTGCTGCGAATTTTTACTAAAAACATAAAAAAAACCACTGTACTCAAGGAAAATGTTTCCCAAACCATAATTTCAGTATCCCGCTCTTTGAAGAGTTGTCATTAAGCAGGAAGAAGTCCATGAATTCTCTCTGTTTATGCCATATTCTAGCCCCTGGAGGGGAAGTGTAGAAGTCCGTAAAGATCTGGTGTGAGACCCGGATACTTACTAAAGCCTTTTTTTTTAAATTTAAGACAGCCAAAGGTATACGATAAGTAAACAAAATAGATGTAATACAGGAATGTAAAGAAAGAATATGCAGTGACGGCGAAATGGCATGAACGGAGACGGAGAAATGGCGGCGGTGAATAGTCCCATACTCTGAGAAATCCAGCAATGATTTCTTTAAATACTTCATCTACAGAAAAAACTATTTTTCTTCTCAACTTAATTCCATTTTGCAATTCAAAATTTCATTATTCCGCACTTGCCTTCACGGTCCACATGAGTGATAATTACAAAGTAATGTTTCACGGCAAAAAATGGCGCTCTAACTAATGTGGCGCCCGGGGACCACCGCGCCCTATAACTATGCAATCGTAGAGATCCGTTTTATTACATTTTAACTGTCTGTGCATGTCAGGAGAATATGGAATCAATGCCTCTAAGAGGGCCATACTTTGAACGCTCTGGAGGATCTCAACGGGCCGCAATTACGTTTCTTAAGGCTCATAGCTGTGTCCTATCAGCGTGGCCCATCTTTCAACAAGATAATGCTCTGTCGCATAGAGGGTGTTCGATCTTGGCCATGGGCTGCTGAGCGATTGGCATGCTACCACTCACCACCTATTTCAATTCATGAACTCTGGCTCAGAGGTGAAGCCGCGTGGCATCCAAACTCTTAAATCTGTCATCCATGCTAAGTTCGACTTGATGCCCAGACAGTGCAGCTCTGTGTACCACTGTGCATCATAAACCACCAGCAAATTTAACTGTGTCTTCCTCCTACTTTACTGTGTATTTGCAATAAATACAATTCTGCTATTTGCTCTCCTTCCTGTAGAAATTTTAATGGAGACTAGTGTATATCATTATGATTTTTATCTCCACAGATGCTATTAGTGTCCAAATGTACTTTTTGTGGGAATCATTTTTCAAATGGTTGCCAACAAATGTTATCACCGTGCATAATTTTTAAAGAAATTAAATAATGAAGTATCTAAATGTATGTTGTTTCTTGCACAGTGAAAACCCATAACACCTACACCCACGAAATTTTGAATACAGTGGTCCACCAACTGAACACGTGCATCTGGTAGCTGGAGTTTTGAAATGTTTTTATTTATTTCAAATTATGTACAAATTTAATGACTTTTTTATTAACAAACTTCGCGATTTGAAATCCAGCAGTGGCAACTTTGTTTGAAATAAAACATTTTTATCTCTAGTGTGCGAG